GTCTCCCCCTTCTGCAGGGTCATCCCCCCCCGCAGGGTCTCCCCCCCGCAGTCTCCCCCCTGCAGGTTCCCCCCGCAGCGTCTCCCCCTTCTGCAGGGTCTCCGGGGGTGCTGGGAGCCTGCGGGGTGAGGGGACCCCTGACGGCCACCTTGTCTTGAGTGGTCTGGGAAGGGCCCCGGCCCCGGCCTCACTGTGTTCTCCCCTAGGTCTCCTGCCCTCCAGGACCTTCATCGCTGCGCAAGATCAAGGAGGCCCCGCTCCCCGCTGCCCCCAGACCCCGGCGGGTGACCCAGGGGCACGAGGTGAGCTGCTGGGCTTGGGGGGGAAATGGCCGTGCTGGGCAAAAACTGGGGGGATGTGGGCTGCAGGGGGACTACTGGATGAGGGGGGCCCACCGTGATGGAGGGTGACCGTTCAGCTGGGGAGGGCCCGGGGCTGACACTATCCTCTGTCCCAGGTCCTAGGAAAGGATGCCCACTCTGAGCTCCAGGCGTGCCTGCAGCGGGCACGCGAGCTGGGCGCCCGGGTCCAGGTGCTGAAGGCCCGTGCCAAGGAGGATGCTCAGGGGTCCCACCCGTCAGAGCCACAGGAGTGTCCAGAGGAGCCTTGGTGAGCCCAGGGGGCTGAGGGGGTGGCCATATGCTCAGGACGGGGTGGGCTGGGGTGGCTGTGTCCAGACTCCTGCCCCTGCCTCCTGCTCTGCTGGCTTCCAGGAAGGGGGGACAGAATCCCCTGCCTCAGCAGGTGTGTGTGTTTTAGATGTGGTCAGTAGGTGGTCATTGAGCATTTGGAAAGCTCATCCTGACTGTCCCCTAGAGCCTGTCATCCTTGCTCCTCTAGTCAGGGGAAGCTGAGGCCGGGGAGGGTCCAGTGTTTGTGGCTGCAGGGCATTGAAGCTGAGCCATCCCATCTCCTGCCCGGGCACTTTGAGGCTTCGCAGGCTTTGTGTACAGGGGAGTGCATCTCCGCTGGGGACTTTTGGCCCTAACTCTGGGCACTTGTACCTGCTGATGGCCCGTCCTCCACGCTCCTCACAGCAAGGACAAGGCCCCTGCCTACCAGCGCTTCCACGCTCTCGCCCAGCCTGGCATCCCAGGCCTGGCACTTCCTTACAAGTACCAGCTGCTGGCCGAGATGTTCCGCAGCATGGACACCATCGTGAGCATGCTGCACAACCGCACGGAGACAGTGACCTTCGCCAAAGTCAAGCAGGGTGTCCAGGACATGATGCGCAGGTGAGCGACTTGCAGGGGCCCTGACAGACCTGGTCTTGGGGTCTGATGAGTGCCCTGCCTGCTTCTTTCTGACCCCTGCACCCTCACCCAAAGGCGTTTTGAGGAGCGAAATGTGGGCCAGATCAAAACCGTGTACCCCACTTCCTACCGCTTCCGCCAGGAGCGCAATATACCAACTTTTAAGGATGGTGTCAAGAAGTCAGACTACCAGCTCACCATCGAGCCGCTGCTGGGCCAGGGTGAGTGCCGGGCCCACGGAGTATGCGAGAGGGACCACAGGGCTTTGGATTCTCATGACACCAAATGGGAGCTCGGGCATACAAGTCCTGGGCCTCGTGCAAGCTGGGGGCCATGGGCATATAAGCCTTGGCACCAGCCCTGGGCCTCGTGTCGGGTGAGGGGCTGTGGGTGACTCAGACTTGGATTCTTCACAGAGGCTGGCAGGGTGGCCCCCCAGCTCACAGCGTCTCAGCTCCTGCAGCGTCGGCAGGTCTTCAACCAGAACCTGGTGGCGAGGGTCAAGGAACATCACAAGGTGATTGGGGACGGAGGCCTGGGTGAGGCCAGGGGGGCCTGGCTCTGTTCTCCAGTCATTGGCTGGTTGTCATAGCCTTGCTGACCTCCCTGAAGGGCCAGGTTCTGAGTGAGCCCGGAGTTATCACCCAGGATTCCACACCAGGGGGGCCAGAGCGGACTCCCAGAGGCTCCATCCTCTCCCTCGCAGGCCTTCCTAGCCACCCTGAACCCCCCCATGGAGGTGCCCGAGGACCAGCTGACCCGTTGGCACCCATGCTTCAATGTGGATGAAGTGCCTGACATTGAGCCGGCAGAGCTTCCGCAGCCGCCCCAGACAGAGAAGCTGACCACTGCCCAGGAAGTGCTGGCCCGAGCTCGAAACCTGGTGTCCCCCAGGGTGAGATTGCTGCCCTGGGGGTGGTTCCTGGGGTGCCTTACCTTGGGGGTGCCTGAGGGAGGCCAACCTGCCCCACGTGGTGGGTGCTCCTCAATTTCCCCATTGGCTTGAGGTGTGCCCACAATTACCAGCTAGTCTTTGGTCTCTGGTCACTCAGTCCATAAGGACAGGTGCAGGGCTCCTGGTCATGGGCTGGGGTGTGGGCTCCTCGTGACCTCTCCCCCACTGCTCCCCCAGATGGAAAAGGCTTTGAGTGACCTGGCCTTGCGCACGGCCAGTCCCAGTAGTCCCGAGACCCCTTGCCCGGCCCCACTTGCCACCCCGCCCACCACTCCACCCACCGTCTCCAGTGCCCTGAAGGGAGTGTCGCAGGCCCTGCTGGAGCGGGTGAGTTGTAACCCAGTGGGTGACACAGGCTTGCTGGAGTTGTGGGGCCCTAGTGGGGAGAGTGTGTGGACCGCCCAGTGACCTGCTCCGTGCCCCCCAGGTCCGGGCCAAGGAGGCGCAGAAGCAGCTGGCACAGATGACGAGGCGCCCGGAGCAGGAGCAGCGGCTGCAGCGGCTCGAGCGCCTGCCGGAGCTGGCACGCGTGCTGCGTGGCGTGTTTGTGTCTGAGCGGAAGCCGGCGCTCACCATGGAGGTGGCCTGTGCCAGGATGGTGGGCAGCTACCGTGCCCCCATGAGCCTTGGTACATGCACATGGGGGGTGGGGTGGGGGCTCTGGCTTTAGCTTAGACCAGAAGACAAGCTGCACCTGCCCTGCCACATGGCAGACCGGTGGAGTCCATCTTGGGGCCACAGGTTGGGGGTGTAACGACTTTCACCTTACTCTCTGCAGGGGACATGGAACGGCACTTGCAGCTGCTGGCCGAGCTGCTGCCCGACTGGCTCAGCCTGCACCGCGTGCGCACCGACACCTACTTAAAGCTGGACAAGGCCGCGGACCTCGCAGACCTCACTGCACGCCTGGCCCGCCTGGCCCGTGCTGAGGGCCTGTGACCCGACACCAGGGCTGGAGCCCTGCACACTGCGTTTAACTCTTCTGTGATGCGGTGCACTTAGCTCGCTCTTCTTCAGAGTCTTGGGGTGGGGTGTGAGGCAGGGGTCCAGGTTCTCTGCCAGGTGGGCAGTGCCTCTGCCTTCGGGCTGTGTATAGCATGTTGATATTAAACTGTTTCTTATTGGTGGTTGTGCCTTTGCTGCTGCTGGGACAAGTTCTCGGCAACCTCGGGAGTTGGTGGAGACAGTGGGGCTGGGGGCTCTGAGTATGGTCTTGTGACACAGCGACTTCGAGGAAGGCCCACTGTGACCTCGGGAGTTTAGACACATAGACCTGACCCTTTAGTGAGTTTTCAGAGGTTACAAACCACAGGAAATTGCCCATTTTCCTCCTTTGGAGCAGTTTTGAATTTGAACCTTTTTGATTACTTGCTATGCATCTGAAAATTGGACAGTGACTGAGGAAGACAGAAAAAATCAGTGCCTTTTGGTATGGAACTGGACACCAAGAAAAGTTCATCTTGGAGGAAGTGTGATCACTCATGGCAGTAAGGGTGGTGCAGCTGTCTCATACCTTGGGGCATGTTGTCAGGGTCTAGTCCCGGGAGGACATCGTCCTTGGAAAGTCAGAGGGGATCGCTGCAGGAGAGGAAGACTCTCAATGGGATGGCTTGTCAGGGACTATGATGGGCTTGACGGTATGGGAGACGGTGAGGATAGGACCGGGCGTAGCTGCCTTTGAGTTGCAGCACCTAACAACAGCCTTGAGTGCAACCTCTTAGCTGCTGGGCCGCCGGAGCACCCTAGGATGGGGATCTGTGGTCTCTAGAACCAAGTTGGCTCAGATTGGCGGCTGGCTGGACACAGTCCCCTTCTCAGTCACATTCCCTCCAGCTTCCCTGAGGGTGAGTCCAGCCAGGAGAGGCAGGCAGCAGCAGGATCCTGGTGGGTGGTGGTCCTGGGAGTGCATCTCCCACCCCAGGTCCTGCCCCCGCCCCAGGAAGACCGCAGTGCACTTGTAGCAAAGTTGTTTTAATTTAGAAGCAAAGCTGTGGCCTGGGCTGCCCCCAGGGCATGGACTCCAGGACCTCAGAGTCAAGACACAAGTCCCAGGTGGGCATCCAGCGCCCCCTGCTGCCCAGGCCAGGCAGGCCCAGTCACTCGTACTGCAGCAGGGCAAAGAAGGGCACTGGGGCCACCTTCTCCCGCCCCCTCAGCGACGTCAGCTCCACCAGGCTCACGCACTCCAGCACCTCGGCCTGCAGCTGGCCCAGCAGCTCACACGCTGCCCGCATGGTTCCTGTGGGGAGAGCAGTGGGTGAGAGTGCCCTAGTTCCTAGGCCCCACCAGCACACCAGAGCCAGGCTGCCCCTCACCTCCAGTGGCCAGCAGATCGTCCACCACGACCACTTTTTGTCCGGGCTCCAGGGCATCCTTCTGGATCTCCAGCTCAGCCTGTAGGGAAGGTAGCAGGGGTGTGGTCTTATCGATGAGTCTCCATGCCTGCTTCCCACTTGACAGCTTAGGCTCCCTCATCAAGGGTCCGTTGTGCTGAGTGCCTGTCAGGGTCACCTGCCCACTCACCTTCCCGTACTCCAGTGTGTACGAGGTGGACACGGTGGGGCCAGGCAGCTTCCCACGCTTCCGGATGAGCAAGCACCCTAGGCCAAGCTCCTGGGCCAGGGAGGGCCCGAACAGGAAACCGCGGGAGTCCAGGCCTGTTGGGACAGAGGGGGTGGTAGCTGGGTTACACAGCTGCATGGGGGACCCTGGGACAAGCACAGTATGGAGATGAGGGGTCCCAGCTAGAGGATATCTGTCCACATAACCGTGTCTGCATGACAAGCACTACTGGGACACAGATCTGGGGAATGGCCAGGGCTCAGGCTGGGCCCCATGCTGCCCGCTGATTCCCTGTAGACCCCAGCACCCTCCTATAATTCGGCTGGCTGTGATGTGGGAGCCGCTCAGCAGAGGGTCAGCGTGATGTGTGCCTGAGGACAGCCCTTTGTTCTTCAGAAGTCTCCCCAAGAAGGGGAAACTTGAAGAAGGGAAAGCTTGGGGCCCTACCCAGCCCGGGGGAGTGGTCAAGGAGGGCTTCCTACAGACATGGCCAAGTGGGAAGGGAGGGACCATCTGGCCATGCCCCAAAGCGAGCGCTGGTGCCCCCCTCGGAGGCAGGGACACTAGAGTCCAAGGCAGGGGTGCCACACTCTCCTGATGGCTGACAGGCCCAACAGGGGCCTTTTCTACTGAAGTCCTGGCAAGGGGCCTGGTGCACAGTAGGTGCTCAAGCCTTGCCTGGTGAGGGCAGTGTGGAGGTGCACTTGGCCCAGAGGACCCAGGTCACACTGTCTAAGGACAGTTTTAACCCCTGGACATGTGCCAAAGTGTTCAGTTGTGCCAGCCACCTCTGTGCCTGTGGGTGAGGCTTTAGCCCTGGTGAGCAGTGAGAGGGAACACTACCTTACAGCCACAAGAGGCTCCCCACCAGCCCACAGCTGAGTGGTCGGTCAGTCCCTCAAATCTCCCCTAGGCTGGGAGGCACAGTGAATAAGTAAAGAAAAGTAATGTCCCCACACTGCCAGTCCCAGAGATGCCTGGGGGCAGCAGGAGCTCTTAGTGGCCAGGTAAGCCCTGGGTGATCTCTGGGGGCCCAAGGGCTTTACTGAAAGGCTAGCTGGTCACCAGAGGCCCCGAGGACAGAGAAGCCACAGGCTGGAGGAAGCTGGGGAAGGAAGTTGGGCCACCCGCCCAAAACCGATAGCGGGTCACTCCACGTTTACCGGCGATATAGTCGATCTTCCCGCCATGGGTCTTCTTCAGGTGACTGGCCAGGAGGCTGATGGAGGCACGGAAGGAGTCAGGGTCCTTCAGGACGGGCGAGATGTCTCTGCCAACAAAACGAAGCTGGCCAGCTGGTTCACGCTGGAAGGGCTGAGTCTTAGCCCCCAGGTCTTCACTAACCACATGCCCATTCCACAGAGAGGGATATCGAGGCGCATGGGGTATGGTGTCCGCCCCAAAGCGGCGCAGATCCGCGGCACCTGGGCCCAGCCAGGAACTCAGGGCGGGTCAGGCAGACGCGACTCCAGCAGCGATTGTGCAACTGTGGCCGGGGGCGCAGGAGCACAGGCTGCGAGCAAGGCCCGCCTCGTGTCTGTCCCTCCCGCAGTCCCACGTGGTCCCCCCGACGACCGCACCTGAACAGCACACCGGGACTGGGGAAGTCTGGGAAGCTGCGGATCCGCCGCGCCACCAGCTGCAGCTGTGACTCGTCCATGGCTAACGCGGTCCAGATCGGTGTCGGAAGGAACCGTGTCGGACGCCTCCGCGCAGGCGCAGGACTGACCCCTGAGGGGCGGGCGAGGTGCAGGGCGGAGCCATGGGGCGGGGTGAAGCACAGGAGGGGCGGGAGCGTGATGGGAGGGGCGAAGCGAGGCTAAGGACAGGACCACGGGGGCGGAGCCGGGGGCGGAGCCATTGGACGGGGGCGTTACAGGAGGGGCGGAGTGAGGCTGCCGTGGGGGCGGAGCCGGGGGCGGAGCGAGGCAAAAGAGGTGCCATGGGGCGGGGGCGGGGCTCCGGCCTGGGCTGAGGGCGTGACGAGGGCTTGTGGGGCCGCCTCCCCTTCTGCTGTACCATGTTGTTGTTGTTGTTATGTGCCGTCGAGTCGCCTGTGACTCTCAGCGACCCTATGTACAACAGCCCTATACTCTCCGCTGTCCTGTGCCAGTCGCACTGTCTCTGACACTCCCATCCCAATTATCCCAGTCACTGAATCAATCCACCTCATAGAGAGCCTTCCTCTCCTGCGCTGTCCCTCCACCCTCCCAAGCATGATGTCCCTCTCCAAGGACCGGTCTCTGCTCACAACATGTCCAAAGTAAGTTAGACGGAGCCTCAGAATCCTTGCCTCCAAGAAGCCACCCAGTTTAACCCTCTCCAGGACAAATCCGTTTGTTTTCCTAGCAGTCCATGGTATTCTCAACACTCTTCTCCAGCACCACAGCTCAAAGGCATCAATTCTCCTTCTGTCCTCCTTGGTCATTGTCCAACTCTCTGATGCACAACAAGTGATTGCGAAGACCATGGCCTGTATCAGATGCATCTTAGTCTCCAGAGAGACACCACTGCTCTTCAGCACTTTGGAGAGGTCCCTAACAGCAGACTTTCCCATGGCAATGCGCCTTTTAATTTCCTGGCTGCTGGTGCCAAGACTGTTGACTATGGAGCCAAGCAAACTAAAGCTGTGTACAATCTCAATCTCTTCACCATCCATCCTGATGCTGCCAATTGGTCCAGTGGTGAGAATGTTTGTCTTCTTGACATTGAGCTTCAATCCATATTGTAGGCTGCAGTCCTTGACACTCTGCAGTAGGCGCTTCAGGTCCTCTACAGTTTCAGCAAGCAGGGTTGTGTCATCTGCATAATGCAGATTGTTGATAAATCATCCACCAATCTTGACCCCACATTTCTCCTCATAGAGCCCAGCCTCCCGGATAATCTGTTCTGCATATAGGTTGAAAAGGTATGGAGATAGGATGCATCCCTGGTACCATAGTCCATCTAAATTAACATGTGATCGATTTTAAGGCGCGCCATCAGTGAATTTAAGGAATACGTGGGGACTTGCTGTCACAAGGACGCCCAGAATGACCAAGGCACTGGGTGCGGCCGGTGCAACAGGACCTTTGTAGGGGAAGCAATGCCCACTGGCACGCAGGGCAGTGCTCTCCCTGGCGGTTTTAGGCCAGCTCTGTCAACTCTCTGCCTGTGGGCCCAGGGGACCCCCACTTCCCAGGGAGTCTGGCGAGGAAGGCTGCGGGGCTGACTCTGCAGTTTCTGGGACTGAACAGGGCCCCAAGTGAGGGGTCACTGAGCCCCACCCTATGGCCTGTTTCCCAGTTGATCTGAGAGGAGACTGGAGCCTCCCAGGGCTTGCTGCCAGAGAACCCTGCCCCAGAGCCTATCTCAGGTCAGGGTGCCCACTGGCCCGTTTTCGTGTGGGGTGGCCCTGGTCCCCTCAGCTATGGGGTGGGAGGAGCAGGTCCTGTGAGCCACTCTTTGTGGTGAGTTGAGAGTCCGAGAGTCCAATAGTCCATGCAGGGACCCAGGACTTGAGCCAGCCAGAGAGAGCAGTTGACAGCCTCCCAAATCCAACCTCACTTTTGAAAACCACAAGACAACAGGAATTAAATGACTATTTTATCTGACAGGATTTTTTCCAGATTTTCTCAGCTCACATCCCGTGCTCCCCAGCCTGCAGGGAGGGTGTGCATGGAGTCACAACACTCCTGTCACTGTCCTGAAGGCTGTCCCCACAGACAGCAGACACAGCCGTATAGATAGCTGTCGTAACCTCACCATGGTGCTGGGCCCCAGGTCCCAGGGGGCAAGTGGTCCCCAGGGACATCAGTGTCCCCTTCCCATCCTCATCCCTCCATGTTCATACCCCCACTGTGGGTGATGCAGGAAGAGGGTGGGGCTGGGATGGCAATGGGATGTGGGCAGGGGGGGACACGGCACTGAGGATCTGATCTTGGGCCTTGGCAATGCCCTCAATACTGGGCAGAAATACAAACAGTAGGTGGTGGTCAGTGATTAGGCTCAGAGGGTCCTGGGAGGAGTGCTGGCTGGCTCAAGGCCAGCCTGAGGCAGAGGGGCTGGACCCCAAAGCCCAGTGACCCTGGGGCCCAAGGGATAGTGGTGTCCCCCTTCACCAGGTAAGGATGCTGGTCAGGCCAGCACGGAGGAGGACGAAGGGGCCAGGTCCAGATGCGCCTGCCTGTCGCCATGGCACTGTTGGTGTGATGGACCAGGCAGCCTGGCCTCTGTGTGCTCCCACTCTGGCTGCTCTGCTAATGGGGCCAGGAGCACTTCTCAGGGGCAGACCCCGGGGGCGGCAGACACTTGCCCAGCTTTTCACAGCCTGGAGGTGCCCAGTTCTGCCAAGTGAGAACACAGAGGGAAAAATGTCCAGTTATTGCAAGATCTGGGGAGTTTAGATCCACCCCGCCCCTCTGCTCCCCGTCTCCCATCCTCGGTGTGGAACCACTTCCTGTGCCCACCAGGTCCTCCCCAGGCCAGCAAAAGGACATGGGACTGCCCCTAAGTGGTATGGGGTGGTGACTATAGCCAAGTGGAAATGACAGCATGGTGGCCCCGGCCCTCCACCCAGCACCGGTCCAGGCTCTGTGACGGCAGCTTCAGGACCTTGCTGGCTTCCTAAAGGGCCCCAAGCCCTTAAGGACCCATCCATCTCAGCTGTGCTAGGCAAGGGCAGTGCAGTGCAGCCTAGGACAGGCTGACCAGCTCCTGCAGAAAGTGCTTAAACCAGGGGAGCTCTGGTGGCCTAGTGGCAAGGAGCTGCAACTACAATCCCAGAGGCGAACGGTTTGAATCCACCAGATGCTCTGCCGGGTAAGGAGGGACAATCTCCTCCTGTACCAGTCAGATCTGATTTGACGGTACACGCACACAAAAATAATAAAAT